TGATAAAGGAAAAGTTGTTGAAAGAATTCGAAATTCATGAGCATAAGATATCAATAACATGAAAACACCTATGTATCCACTGATCAGTCGGAAAATTAGCTAAGCAAACTAAATTCGTACCAATGAAAATTGTTGAAATCATGAAGTTATCACTCTAGATTATCACTTTAGTCGATCAATTAGTTTTTTGCAGACATCATCGAATTCCGAGGCGTTACAACAAGAGGAATTGGATGACGCCGGTTTATTGGGTCGTGAAATAATGCAAAAAATTGTCAACGATGTTCTTAAAGACGGTGTTCCGATACCCATCCATCCAATTTTCAAATTATACAATACTAAGGTATTCACGGTTTATCTTTCTTTGTGGATTTTTAGCTTTCCTGTTAAATTCGTTCATTCCGCAGCATTTGAATGGATGCTTTCAAAAGCTTCATTATCAGAGTAAATCGAGTAATTTTTTCGAGACAACAGATAGGATTTATTGGAGTTTCGACCACATTAATCGGGTTGCCTGACTTCTTTATTCATGACTTCTTTACTCCTCAGTATTGAATCATGACAAGTGACTTGAATATCATGAGTTGGCCCACATGTGGTTTATTCTGGTTTATTGTCTGATCAAATGCAAGACACTGTGTCAGAATTACTCACAAGGGAAATATGGGTCGGTCGGTCGATTGAATTGAAATTGATCAGTACTGATGATGAACGTTCAGCAAATTGGCTTTCAGTAATATGATTCATAAAATGATTATTTCCTCTAAATGTATCATCATCTCACAGTAGATGTTTGATGAGTATTACCGATGAATGCTATTAGATTACTGAGTTCATTCTCGTTAATTCGTTTTACGAGAGATATTGACTGTGAATAAGATTGGATGCAAAATGAACACGTTTAGCATCGTTTACCTAATTCGAATTATATTATACAAATAATCAACTCAGTAGTTATGACGATTGCAATAATAATAATAATAATAATAATAATAATAGTATTGTTGCTAATAATAACACTGTTAGTAATAATGATGGTAGAAATGATGATAACGATAATAACAGCAATAATAACAATAATAATAGTGGCATTACTGATAATAATAACAATGACAAACGTAATATTAAAAAAAACATTGATCACAACAATAGAATTCGTTATATGACGATATCGTATAAGACATAAGAAGAATGAACAATTAAAAATGATAACAGGTGGCAGTAATGGATCGGTATTGCGCATTAATGTGCGATTTTCGGGTGAATCACAAAACGGTTCGACAATTCATCAACCATCAATCGTCATCGTTGTTCTGGTGATGAATTATTGCGATACATTATCATCGTCATTTATACATTATCTATGCTTTATGGTTGTTCACCTCTTAGGCGGGTGCAGTTGAATGTACACATTGATTATGCAATCATCGCACACCAATTTTAAATCCACAACATTGTTCAGTGTAACCTCGCTTAACGGCCACATCGCTTTGCGACTAATTTCAGTTCGAAGCAAATGCGTGGAACTTGTGATTTATAGGTGACGAGGTTGACTTAGTTCATAATGCCGTTGTGTTCAGCACATGAACTGAGCTGTCGGATTTCGTTCGACGACCGTGTTGTTGTTTGGGGTTGTTGTTTTGCATGTGCTGGTCTTTTCTGCTTCGTAATTTTATTCGTAAACGACGACTCTGTAAAAAATAANAAAACAAAATGTTCTCATCTCCAGAAAAGAAATCACTTTTATTTGTTGCAATGAACTCAGTTGAAGCAGACATTTATTGTGGTCATTCATTGCTCTTCACTTGATCGTATTTTGAATTGTCTTTTGAATGGTCTTCTGAATGCTCGCTCACTCATTTATTACACTTCCACTTAACGTATTTGAGCGAATGTTGAATTCTGTGTTCCGATGATATTTGTGTATATAAAGTGCAGAATGATTCGTTTGTTGTAAGAAACACATGAGTTTTCACTTTCACCGACTTTGTTGAAAATTATCTCTTTCCCTCATTCCAAATTCAGTCTCCGATAGAATTTTATCGCTTGTGAAAACTATGATGTTAGTTTATTTGTATGTGCATTATTGACAATGTTATGAATGTGAATGAATGAACAAATAAATAAATGAATAAGCAAATAATTGAACCTTCAAAAGTTCGTATTGCTGTTTTCGAGTCCGATAGATGTACTCTAAGAAAGCAGTGATCAACGAAAGAACCATACCACAGCAAAGAATATAAAAGATACCCGCCACTTTACTCAAATGCAAACTTGAACTATTTGCATTATCCTGAACGAAATTTTCACTCGATTATGTCAGCATATTCACAATTTATACGGATGCATTATCGAGCGTTACACACTACGATTTCAAGCCATACGTAAAATCTCTTTAAATCACCATGTAATTCACATTTAGCATGAATCAGTTTCATTGCAGAGAAAATTGCTTTGAAACGATGTTTTCAGAGTCTTACAATTTTAGCCACTGCATCAAGCTATACCACGATCATAACCAGAAGCGAACTAACAGAATCAAATTAAAATAGTTCAATCTGCAAACCGATATGCCTTGATCACACTGTCCTCTATCGTACCACCATTTATTCTCAAGCTTCTTCAGTTGCCCTTTCTCTTGCAAATAAAGAATCGCCAAGTTTAAACTTCCTCTGAAATGGAGCGCAACTATCAAATTTGGGATTTCAGTCACTCGGAATTGGTCGTGAAGCAAGAATCGAAGCTACCTTAATGGATTACCAATTTTGGTAGCAATCCCGTAGCCGAGAGAGTTCAAATTGCTACCAACTTTCATAGTATCACACGGTTTGCGAGTATTCTCATACTCAATTGCTGTTTCTTCCAGTAGAAACGCATAGAGACCCTGAAAATATGATGTATATCTCTATATAGGTCATTCAAACAGAACCACTTCTAAAATTAGCAGTGTTTTGCGACGTTCAATGGTCAAACTCTCAGCACTCATGGTCAATGATCATACGGATTCTAGGTAAAATCTCTTCAGCAGATGTTAGTATCTTCTCACCTTACTTCGTCGTACTTTTTCAATTCCTTCCGCATACGAGTTCGCCATAATCGTATCAGCGTCTGGT